ATATTTTAAATAAAAATAATTCTTTAATAAGCTTTTCCGCAGATATGTGGAGCAGTATAAATAAAATTTCATTCATAGCTATTACTGCACACTATATTGATTTTTCTTTTACATTAAAAAATATTTTACTTGATATAAATCATATCCCATTTCCTCATACTTCTGAAGAAATATCCTTAGCTATAAAAGAAGTAATTGATGTATATCAATTGGAGGAGAATATACTGGCCTGTACTACAGATAATGCCAATAACATACTAAAATGCATGGATATTTTGAAGAATATTTATAAGGAACAAAAATTTAAAGTCCCTCTTCTAATTCCTTCCATGGCAGTTCTACAAACAAAGACATTTGCATTTATTTAAATTAAATATTTGTATTAATTATTTTATTATTCATAATTAATTTTATATTGTTTATATAATACTCTTTTATTTAATAAAATGATAAAACAAATTAAATTAGGTAAAAAGAATATGTTTTTTAAACAAATAAAAAGACCAGTCTTTTTATTTAGGACCACGGTCTGGATCGATCTTTTTCTTAAGGACCGTGGTCCGGTCCGAGGGTATCGGTCCAGTCCGAACCAAAGTATAAATATTAGTTTGCCCAACTAAATTGTTAATAATATCATCATCGTCTATAAGTTTTTTAGAAGGGGAAAACTTTATTTAAATTCTGTATTATATTTATATAAATCATTATTTTGTCAAAGGGTTTTCATATTATTTGAACATAAACTTCAAGTTTTAATCCAATATCTGGTTAAATATTATAGGTTATATTTAGATCTACTGTTGTAGCAACATTTTCTTCTCAACTGTCTCAGAAATATCTCCCTCTGGTATTATAGATGTTGAGGTCATCTAAAAAATTATAAAAAAAAATCTACGTAAAAATGGAAAAAAAAATTTACACTTTCTTTTTTTGCAAATATCATAGTAACGCTTGTAAATGGAAAATAACCTATATATATATGATATTTTCAATATTTAACAAAAAAATTATGCAAAAAATTACATTAGAAAATACCAAAGTTACCAATTAGCATTTTCTTCATAAAAATCATATTAATATTAATTATTGAAGAATTTATTTTTGTAAACATGTTACTTTGATTTATATACACTTAAATGGCTATCAATTTAAAAATGTAAAAATTTTGAATATCTAATTACTAACTTGTATTTTGATATAATAAAATAATAATTTTGACAGGTTAATTACGAAATAATAAATAGTGATTTTGAAAATTAATGTGTCTCAACAATGGGTTTTATAAATATAAAAATAAATTGATTAAAAATTATGATGATAAATGATCTCACTAGGCGTAAATGAGTTAAAATAAATAAATGTTTTGGAATTTATAAACGTTTATAAAGAGTAAAAGCCCCAACTTACCCCTGTCTTCTTTTATCTCATCTTATAAGTATAAAAAATTTATTCAAAATTCATAGTATGGTTAAAATAAATAAATGTGTTGGAATTTATAAACGTTTATAAAGAGTAAAAGCCCCAACTAACCCCTGTCTTCTTTTATCTCATCTTATAAGTATAAAAAATTTATTCAAAATTCATAGTATGTTAATCTCAGAGACATACCGTAACTGGACCCCCACCCCCCTTCCTTTCATATGTGAATTTTTGAACTAATCTTAATTTTACATTATTTTTATATAGCTTTTTAATATAAACAATAAAATGAACAAATGTTAATGTGGAAATTGTCAAAAATTTATAGGGTAGGTTCTCTGTATATGCTGGAATACATTTAGCGTCATAGCAGATTTTTCGAATTTAAAAATCGAATTTTAATAAATGATAAAAAAATTATAAGATACCAAATCCCCGTTGATTGCAATAATACGGCATATATAAATCAGTTGTATAAAATTTTATTAGAACCGGATCTGGTTCCTTGAAAAAAATATATACTTTTATGATGCTAAAGCTATTACATTTGATCGAATTTGGGGTTGACGAAAATGGTCACTTCCAAATTCATAGTGCACAGCTATTGACGTCCATTTCCAAAGAATCTATGAAGGTAGCTAATGCTCTTATTTCCTAAATATTTCATCCATTAAAGTAGTTTAAAAAAAGAAAGGAAAAGATAAAACAATAAAAACTTTATCATTAGTTTAAAAAAAGAAAGGAAAAGATAAAAACAATAAAAACTTTATTAATTCTTGCATATCGGCCCGAAGTTTAGCGCGGTCCGAAGTCTAGCTCGGGTTAAAATTTTGTATACATTATAAGAACTTGGCTCTTTTATCAAAAATGATAATTAGAATTTTCTGTGTTAAGGACAAATCGATTAATAATTTTTACTTCATTCAATTTCATTAAAAATTCGTTCCATTTTTTATTATTTTCAGTTAAAAAATTCTGGCTGGCCTGGCTCATGTCGAAAGAAATTGAATTTTCAGAGCTCTACTTTATAATGCTGATCAATAAATTTTTTTTAATTCTCAATTTGGCGAAGTTTTTAAATATAAATAATTAGATTATATTCATAATAGATAATTTAATTTAAACTTATAGAGTATATTATACTATAAAATATACTTTATTTTTTTATAACAAAATGTTCTTCTAAAACCTCCACTTAATTGTAATCTATGTCATAAACAATTATTAAATTTTAATTTTAATTTAAAATTTAAATTAATATTTAATATACTTTTATTTTATTTATTTTTTTATTGTTTCTTAATATCGATATATTATTATAAAACATGCTATAAAAAGTAAATATGCCAAATAATTTTAAAAGTGATTATATAAAAATATATGCTAAAAAATGACTAAATAATTAAGTCTATAAAGAAATCCTTCTAGGTAGCAAGCGATTTAAAGGAGATATTCTGACGGAGGCAAAGCCCCTTATTGGGATATTTAGGATCCAAGGTAATTCTATCCAAGGCATTTTATTATTTTATATGTCTAATATCAGAAGTTTTTTAAAATTTTAATGGAAATGGGAATAAAAAATATATTAAAAGTCAGTATCTATGTGAAATATTAAATTTACCAATACACCTATATCGGAAAAATCCCAAGCCTGAGAGAGGCCTTTAGACCAGGATTTATGGTTTTATCTTAAAAATAATTGAAAAGACTTTTTACTTCGAAAGAGAATGGGTATTACATATAAAATTTTAGACTTGTAAAATAATATTGAATACTTTGTGTAATATTGGTAGAAACTTAACATTTAATTAAATGAGGAACTAGTTATCTAATTTCAAATATAGTTTAAAATATATTAATAGAAAATTTAAAAATAATCAGGTAAATATAGTCCTTTGAAAGAGAAACGAGGTAAAATGGTTGCTTTTCTTTTCCTTGGGTTATTAATAACGTCCTTTCTTAGAAATTTATAAGGTCGAGTTTTGTAGTTTGTTTTTGAATGTGCCTGACGTGTTTGTTCTTCGATCATTGAGTTTGATTTGGCAATTCTTTTTAATTAGGAAATTCTAAATTGAGAAAATATTTAATTGGAGTTAAAATTGAATAAATTATATTCTCAGGTCGTGAATAACCCCGTATTAATTGGGAAATTGCACACGAGGAATTGAAGGATCGATTTTCTAAACCTCGTTTTAATGTTGTGAAAATAAAACTCCTACTCTCAGGTTTATGACATAAAAGCGTAACGTTAGTTCGAATTATGGGCGGACTTTAGTATAATCTGGTTAGAAACTCCACATTCAAATTCTTTCATTAAGTAGCTTGTGATTTTTGATGATTCTTCTGAAAGATGCTGCCATCCTTTCTTTTAGATGTAGAATTTGTGGATATACTTTGTCGATTTACGGTAATGTCTAAAAGGGATATTGGATTTTATAATATTTTGAAGATTTTATTCCAATAGAACGCCCTGAGTCTTTCTGAAGGATTGGGCGTGTAATATATAAATTTTAGCTAAAAAGGAAAGAGTAAGTTTAATGTTTAATTTAAAACTGTTAATTTTAGATAAATAAGTTTCCCACTCGTTAACTGAATGAATCTCGGTTTGTGAGGAGTAAGAATAGGTGATTTGATGAATACAGTTGGAGTAGTTGGTAAATTACCTTAATCCAGCCCAGTTAAACAGCTTAACCGCGTTTATTAAGTTAGTTTCTTTTTGAGGTATAAGCTAATTTTTATTGGATTTTAGGTGTCCCCTTTGAAGACTTTTAACAGTATCACATTTAAAATATATATAAAAAATATTATTAACTTTTACTTATTTTTTTTTGAAAATAGTTTTATTATACGCGGTTTTTGGAGAGAAAGAACTGGGTAGGAGGTGGATATAAGAGGGGGGCGGAAATTTTTTATTAGCTTAAAAATATAATTAAGAAATATCAAACAAAAGCTATTTAGCAAACTTGGTTTATGAAATCGGCTTGAGTTAGATGATTTTTTTCAACTTTACCTGAGAAGGCAAATTAATCTCGGGTTTGGAGTTTGCTCGATTGACAATTAAAATCAAAAATTATGGAATTAATTTAAAATATTTTAAATCTATATTATATTGTTCATTTAATTTTCATAAAAATAGTAATTTCTTCCTATATGTCACAAATGTTAATTTTACAATTTAAAAAAAAGAAATTAAAAATCCCTTTAGTTTGGAGTATGAATTTTTTTTAAAATTATTATTTTTACAAATTTATCATAAAATGATTTTTGTAGAATTGTATATTCACTTTAAAACATATAGTTTTAGAACGCACTGCAAGCTCACGAATCTGTGAATCCGATATTTTTATGGAAATTTAAAAAAGATATAAAATGTGTTATATATGATATATTAAAATTTCATACTAAATGAATAGTTTAAATGGGATACGAGTACAAGATAGCACAATGATTCTCTATAAATTATGAATGTATCAATTTTTTATTAAAAGTTAGCTAACCAATAGGGAAATATATTTTGTAAAATATTTTATTTTTTATAATTTTATTGTTACTTAATTTTATTTTCACATAATCACCAAAAGAATGCATACAAATTATGGCTCTGTAGCGTGAGGCTCCCGTATTACATCGGAAGCGATAAAGATACTCCCATATCACCTTGTTCTGACTTTTGCGATTTAGTACTTAATAGATGTCCTTACCTGTTACCTCAATTCGAATATGGAGGAGAGCCAACTTTTATATGCGATAATTACTCTACAAACCATCGTCTTAAAAGTTTTATAAAACATAATTATAAATGACGTTAATTTATTTCTCAAGTATTTTATTCGAAATTACCAGTATCTTAAAAAATGTTTTTTTAGTATAATAACAAAATTGTCAGCATTTCATGAATTTTATTCAGTATGAATAATAGGCTAGTATCTTAGCGTTCAATATTCAAATTTTCGGTAAATATATCAATTTTTGAGTTATTTTAATAGATTTAGCAGTAAATATATTTTTTTTCCCGCTATTTTAGTATCTAAATTCATAAATTATAATTGCTACAAAATGTCTAATTTCTCAAAATTTATTAGTTTGTACATTATTTTATATTATAGATATAGTATTAAATAATAATAAACGTTCCCTTGCGGATAAATATTATTAAATTATATTTTATTATTCCTAATAATTTAACATGATTTACTATTAAAAGATTTAAACTATTTATTTTATTCGATTAAATGAAATATTTCTAATTTATATTACTTTATTATTTATCTAGTAATTTATTTAAATAAGTTTTTAATAGCATAATAAAAAAATTAATTAATTAATAAGGATATAAAAAATATTTACCTGCAGAACCTGCAGTTTTCTAACCTTTTAAGTTTACTTGCACAACTTCAATAATTCCTGGCACAAATACGATATGCCCAATTAGGGCAATATATCAAATCCTTGCATTTTTACTGAATGACAAATTGCATCTCTAAAAATCTCCTTATTCGAAAAATCTATTTTTAACCTACCATCTGAATATTTTTATTAAAAATAGGATCCTAACCATCAAAATTAGCTCAGAAAAACTATAATCTCTACCTCCCTCCCCCCTCCCATTTATTTCCTCCTCTCTTTTCCACGTTCATTATAGTTCAATGACGATTGCCCCCCCCCTGAAGTAGAAGTGTATTGCTATCATAACCAGATAGAGAATCGGCTATAGACGCATCAACTTTTCCGAGATTTGCTTTGCATTTTAGGTATCAATGAGAATAAAGTCAAATAGGTTACACCTCTAGAAAGATCATTACAAATATAATTGGTAAAATTAATATGGAATAGTGATTCCACGGGCAGAAAATCCAATAAAAATATTTTGGAGTCGTTTTCCTGGGAAATTATTGCTTCACAAATTTGCCATTTTACATGTTCCCGTATACCTACAGGGGCTTAGGCATTGTGGTATATATATTCTATAAATCTCATAAAATTCAAAATGGTAATTTTTCCTCAAAATAAAAAATATTAAAAATAAATTGACGAAAAAGAGCTAGAAAAATTGATTTTGATCAATATCTTTTGAATGCGTATTTCCTACTACTAAATGATATAGAAATACATCTTTTGACCAAGTTTAATACAATTCGACCGAAAGAGAAGAAATTTATCTATGTTTGTCTTTCTATCCCAATTATCGTATAGTCTCGGTTTCTCCTATATTTTCTGCTGCTATATAACTTTTAACTTTAAATTCCTAATTACTAATTTAAATTTTTTTTTAAAATTTCTCACATCAGGCACGCGACATAATATACAGTGTGTTAAGAATAAAATTGTCCATTTCTAGATTTATTTGAGTTGTGATGCTTTCTTCTCTTAATTTATTTATTTACTATATAATATTGAAGGTTAAGAATAAATTTACAATAAAATTAAAAACGTAGAAAACGTAATATTATTTTGAAATGATTTTTGCCTAGATTAAAAATTGAGATACAATTAACAATATCCTGTTGTGGTAAAGAAGTTTTTAATATAATTTTTTATAGTGAAAAGTGTAAGTTATATTTCAACTAAGTTACTGATTTGATTGATTAAAGTATTTTATACTTTATTAATTTTTTTCATAACAAAAATATTTTAAGAAGATGTAGAAGAAATACGACAATGTTATTCTATACGAGATATGATACCATCTATACCCATTAACAACTCCGTTCCCAACAAATCGATCGCTGGAAATTTTAAAAGTGTAACATATTCCAGGCTAAGATTTCTGTGTCCTAAAATGAGCTATGACAGTGCTTATTTTAATTTAAATCGATAAGTATCAATAATCAGCTTGCTTGATAAATCTTTGGAAAAATAATAGTTACTTCCAATAATACGCGCGAATTATATTACTCCTTCAGATAATGTTCCCAGACCACTTATCAGTCTTATAATCTTTTTTTTAAATATAAAATAAAATCACCTCATATATTGTTTAAAAAACATGCCAGTAGATATTTTATTTCTTACAGTTCTCCATTAAAACCTTTTTCTTTTCTTCTTAAAAAAAATAAATTCACAAATGATATTTTAAAGAATATTGTTTATTCATACATTTTTTTAAAATTTCAGGTTAGGAGATAATGAGGACCATTGAGATAAACGGCAACATTTGTCATATTTTTTTAAAAAGTAATAATTATTTTATCGAAATATAAAATTTCTATATATTCCCCCCCCCCTCACTCTTCCTCCGCACCTTATATATAACTGCCGAATAATTGTCAATCCATCAGTGTAATGCCAAAAATGACTAGATGCCAAATTTTGTTATGAAATTATATATGTATATTACCTCGAAAATATATAACTTGTTAATAATTTATTATGTTTGACGATCGTTAAATGTACATATAATAAGGAACAAATAGTAACATTTAACTTTATTTTTATGTACGATACTGTAATCAGCAATATTTCAGCATGTGTAAGATTGAATATTTTGAATTATCTAAATAATATATTTGTTTGGATATAATAATTAAAAGGATGTTTGAATTACAAAGTTCTGAATTTGCGTTCATTTTTTTAAAAAATAAATCCACCTTCCACTCCCTTCTCTCCAAAAAAAATTTATTAAATTCGTTTTTATATCTTCAAATAAATGTGTATAATATTTTAAAGATTTTTGAATTCCTAAAGCCAGCTTGGTTATCACGAATAGTTTTTCTCTCAATATGCTTAAATTAAACTTACGAATCCTAGATTTTTTTAAATTTTAATTTCAAAAATAAATCTATATTTTGGATGGATATTACAACAACATACATTAAAATACAAATTACTTTTGGTTGCAAATAACTATAATCCCAACTTAGCTCAAATCATGCCCTCACTCATATCTTATATATTATACAAAATAATATAGTTTTGATTATGTGATGTCATACAAAATTATTGAAGAAGCTGGCAGGCTATTTAATTCATGATTATGGCTCACCCCTTATATTTTTTTGTAAGCAGTGTTAATGTTACAATTCCTTATACGAATTGTAATCAAATTGTCGAAGGCTAGTGGGAGAGACTTTAATGGAACCTAGTATTAATAAAAAAGAATATATAAAAAATTAAATAATTCGGTTAATAAATCGTACGAAACCAAATCTCGAATTTTATACCACAAAAATAAGTTTCTTCAATTATAAAACCATACACTAACTTTTATTTTAAAATATACATCTTTTTAATATGCAAAAAAATTACAAGTATATTAAAAATTCATAAAAAATAATAAAAATTACAAGTATTCATAAAAAATAATTAAAATTACAAGTCTATTCAAGTTCATAAAAAAAATAAATTCCTAGACTGCATATTCAAATTAATACTTAACAATCGTCGATCACATATTCACAAACTAACAAATTATATAAAAATATAATTTATATTCAAATTAATACTTAACAATCGTCGATCACGATCACATATTCACAAAGCGAATATAACACCTCCACCCTTAAGACTAACTTTCCTCTGCATCTTTCGTTGGTTCCCCATTCTCCCACACCGAAAACGCTGTATTGTTACTTGAGGTCTCTAATGCTATTGGATGGAACCTCAACTTGTGCATCCCTCCGCACGACCAACATTCTAGACGGTTTTTCTTCACCCAATATGGTTCAATTCTTCGTTCGAATCGTTGTCTCTTGGGTACTTCCTGCAGGAGTTCCCCATATTTCTGTTGCGCTTCCGTTCTCGCAGCTTTCATCCATCTGTTAGATTCTACTGATCCATCCACCTCTCTAATTTCCATCTTTATGATCTTATTTCCTAAGCGAAAATATGACGCCATCTACAAAAATTACTATAAAAATATATACATATTCCATAATCTTCTAATGATCTACAATACATTGTATTCTATCCACATGATAATTCTCTTAACCGTTTTAACCCTTATAAATTATGATTATCATAATTAGGTCTATCATCAATTTTATTTCATCAAGAATTATGATTCTCTTAATTATGTCTATCATCAATTTATCTCTTTATAAATTATGATTCTCATCATTATGTCTCTCATCAATATGATTCTCATAATTATGTCTATTATCAATTTATCTTTTTATAAATTATGATTCTCATAATTTTGTCTATCATCAATATGATTCTCATAATAATGTCTATCATCAATTTATCTCTTAATAAATTATGATTCTCATAACTATGTCTATCATCAATTTCATTCTATCTGAAAATATGATTCTCATAATTATGTCTATTATCAATTTATTTATTCTAATTATATCCAATATCTCTTTCTTGCCCTAAGCTTCTAAGTCTTACTTGTTTCAGATGTCTAGTAAAGGTTCCTTCTTGCCCTTCAATTTCTACTTTTTTTCTTCCTATATTCTTACTTACTATACCCTTCCCCCATTTAACTGGACCATCAAACAGTAGAATCCATACTAAACTTCCAACTTTAAATTTCTCATCATATGTATTATCCTTTTGCTTTATCTTTTCCTTCAAAAAATCTAATTCAGTTCTTGTTTTTCTACCTTAAAACCTCTCTGCTGGTGATTTTCCTTTGCCAGTCTTAGTATTGTTATATGCTAATAATAACAACCACCATTTTCCCTCTCCCTATTTTTCTTTTTTTAACCAGCTTTTAACAATAGCTACCATTCTCTCGGCTTGCCCATTACTTCTCGGGTAATGTGGTGGCGATACTAAATGCTTAATATTCCACCTATCATAAAATTGGTTAAAAACTCTACCTTTAAACGCTGGGCCTCCATCTGATACCAAAGTTTCCATTAATCCATATTTACCTGCAAAATATTTTATTTTAGTCAACGCTTTTCATCGTTAAACCTGAAACTTGTTGACAATCTATCCATTTCGATCCAGCATCTACCATGATAAAATATTTTCTTTTTTCATATTCTAAAAAATCTACATGTATTTTTTTACCTGGAATGTCAGTTTCTGGCCATTTATTTGCTTTATTCTTTGCTGGTACATTAGCTCACATGTTTTAAGTCTCACAGCTTCTAGCTAATTCTTCAATTTCACTATTCATCTTGGGCCACCAAATATATTCTCTTGCTTTATTCTTCATTCTTTCTATGCCTTGATGTCCTATATGTAATACGGCTAATGTATCTTTTCTTAACTTACTCGGTATCACTAATCGATATCCTTTCAATAAACAATTGTCTTCTATATTTAATTCATTCCTTATATTCTTAAAAGCTTTGTCTTCACTTTTCCATTCTGCCTCTCTCAAAAATCGAACACCAGAATTTTTAATTAGATATAGAAGTAACAGAAAATAAGGAAACAAGAGATATAAAGACAATAGAGGTAAATACAATCGAAGACAAACAACAAGGAATTAATAAAATGGTAGAACTGAATGTTGTTGAGGATAATTTTAACAAATAAAGAATATTTTGAATAGATATAAGGAAGTCTTTAAAGAAGAATTAGGAACTCTTAAAGATTTTGAGGTAGATATTAGAAGAAAATTATCGACCTAAATATTGCTGCACAAGAAGATTGCCGTTTTCGTGGATAGAAGATATAGTTAAAGAATTAGACAAATGGTTAAAAGAAGGAATTATAAAACCAATAGTAAATAGTGTGTGGGCAACACCGTTAGTTCCCATAAGAAAACCAGATAATAGTTTAAGACTGTGTATAGACTATAGAGTATCAGTTAACCCGTGGATAATAAACGAAAGATATCCATTACCTAGAATAGAGCAATTGCTGGCTAATTTAAGAGGAGCAACAATTTTCTCAAAGATAGATTTTTCGAATGCTTACGTGCAAATAAAGCTGAGTGAGAAAACAAGTAAGATATTAACGATTACAACGCATAGAGGATTATTTGCTTTTTGTCGTTTACCATTTGGTTTGAAAGTATCGGCTCCAACATTTCAAAGAACTATGGCGGCGTTATTTCAAGGAATAAAGGGAATAATGTATTATTTAGACGATGTTTTGATATCTGGTAGAACAGAAGAAGAACACAATACTAGGTTAGTTAAAGTGTTAGATATTATATTAGAAAATGGTTTAAAAGCTAATATTAATAAGAGTGTTTTTGGAGGAAGAAAAATAAAGTATTTAGGACATATTATAAAGGGAAATAAAATTACTCCAATTGCAAAGAATATAGATAAGATAATGAATATGAGAGCCCCAAATAATAAAACTGAAGTACAGGCGTTTTTAGGAGCAACGAATTATTATCATCGGTTTGTTCAAAATTTTGCAGAAATTGCCTCACCGTTGTATGATTTATTAAAGAAAAATAAAAGATTTGAATGGGGAGAAAAAAGCACAAGAGAAAAGTTTCGAAAAATTGAAAATAAAGATGGTAGAGAAACCGATTTTAAATTGTTTTAATGAGAAATTAGATATTATATTAGCGGTTGATGCATCTAATGAAGGTATAGGAGGAGTTTTATTACAGATGACCGATAATGTTGAGAAACCGATTTTATTTTTATCGAGACGGTTTAGGAGCACTGAGAAAAATTACTCCACGATCGAGACAGAGGCTCTGGCTGTGAAATTCGGGCTAGCGAAGTGCAAAGAATATCTGATTGGAAGAAGGTTTGTATTATATACGGATCATAACCCGTTGGTAGATTTATTTAAGAAAGAAAATAAAGAACTTATGATTTCACCAAGATTACAGAAATGGTTAATTTTAGTTGGTAATTTCGATTTTGAGATAGAATTCAGAGCGGGTAAACAAAATTGTTTACCAGATATATTATCGAGATTTTTTAATAAAGACATTGCAGACAAGGATCCAGTAATCAATAGTTTAGAATATATAGAAGAGGAAGAAGAATTAAATAGTAAAGTTATAAGAGCTTTGAAAATAGATACAAGAGAAGAACCGATAACGTTCGAAAGAGTAGAGGAGATATCCAAAAAAGATGAAGAATTAATTGGAAAAGTGAAGACAAAGCTTTTAAGAATATAAGGAATGAATTAAATATAGAAGACAATTGTTTATTGAGAAGATATCGATTAGTGATACCGAGTAAGTTAAGAAAAGATACATTAGCCGTATTACATACAGGACATCAAGGCATAGAAAGAATGAAGAATAAAGCAAGAGAATATATTTGGTGGCCCAAGATGAATAGTGAAATTGAAGAATTAGCTAGAGGCTGTGAGACTTGTAACATGTGGGCTAATGCACCGGCAAAGAATAAAGCAGATAAATGGCCAGAAACGGACATTCCAGGTAAAAGAATACATATAGATTTTTTAGAATATGAAAAAAGAAATTATTTTATCATGGTAGATGCTGGATCGAAATGGATAGATTGTCAACAAGTTTCACGTTTAACGACGAAAATAGCGTTGACTAAAATAAAA